GTGTACCGTCAAATTGGATCTGACTGTTACAGGAGGAGATTGTCCCTTCTTCTCCAGCAGGGCATCTGGTGGATTGGAACCACTCACCTCTGAGACTGCAGTACAGCTTCTTGCCGCTAGGTCACCTGATCCATACACTCTTGGGTGGCAAGGCTCATTCTGACTGAGACCATCCAGTATTCATTACTGCAGCTGCTGCTCTCCATTTCAATTTGGGATTACTTCACTCATTCTTTCTGTCCTTTAACTTAAAGGTGCCTGTTCTGTTTATCCCATTCCCACCTACTTCCTCCTAGGCCTTACCTATACCACCAGTAGCTCTCCCAACCTTATAACAGCCATCTCTTTGTACCTCCAGCCCTCTCCATTTCCTCAGTGCTCCTTTCTTCACCTGCAGCAGACTGAATTCTTTCCCACCACCAAAAGCCCTGTCCTGGCTGTTGGTTGCTGTCCTCATCCTGCTTCCCTGCTCTTAACACGTGAATGACAGCTCCCTCCTTCCTGCAGGCCTCCTCCTATAGCGTTCAGGGCTCACCTGGCAACCTTACTGCCTTCCCAAGGGCTTGGTTTCTGTAACTGACATTTCTTCCTCTCTGATTTCCTATTTGTAGGGCTCCCCAGGTGTTTTTATAATCCACATTACCTCCTCATGGATGATTTTACTGATTTCATAGCTTCACTTCTCATTTGATGGTGCTTCACCCAAGTACTTTTTGTGACTCGTATCTTGAGCACCACCTGACCCCTCAGTCCATTTATCCCTCATGATCTCCTCTGCAGCCATTGCCAGCCCTTCCTCTGAGTCTCCTAAGCTTTATTCCTATTTTAGCCTCCAGGTCACCAAACAGGAAGCTCAGTTTGGATTCTTTTTACCCCCAGCACCAAGTCCTCTGTTGGTTTGTCTCCATGTGTTTGGATTTGCTTAGTTTAGGATTGCCAGTGCCTCACTAACATCACTAGCATTTCTTGTCACTAGTCTTCTGACCAGTTGTCATCTTCCCCTCCAAGAACCCAGCTTTCACCCAGCTGCCTTCCTAAGCAGAGTTCCGGGCCTGGCCCTCCTGCCCGGGAAGCGCCTGTCGGTCACACCCCATTGCCTGCCCAGTACAGTGTCCTCATAACTGACATCTGTTCACGTCTTCACACTTTGCATAATATCTTCATAATGGTCTTGGGAGTTAGACAGTCTAGCTGTCATTGTTAGACCATTGTTGTTGTGTGCTGTTGAGTCAGAACTGACTCATAGCTCACACTCCGGCGGGTTTTCAGAGGTGGTAAATCTCATGGGAGAGATTGCCCATCCTTTTCCCATGAAGCAAGTAGAGAATTCAAACTGCTCTCTCATGATTTGGCCATCTTATTTTCTGCTTCTCACTTGGCGAGAACTTCTTGATTGAAGGACAAGGTCACCTCCACCTTCATTTACTTTGTACAGAGCTAATTCCAGGAGGCCCTGTTCAGAAAGACTTGGGGTTACCTGGGAGAGGAGAGACCTCTTTTCAGTCACATACTTCCGAGCACTCACTGAGGTTTGCCTAGGCCTCTTCAGTCTCCACCTTGATACCAAAACCTGCTCATTGTTCACATTTTACCCTCTGTTAACAACCCACCTCCATCATCAGCCTCCTTGGCTGAAACATCTCATTCCTTGAGCCTCTGTGCTTTGTTCCCCCACCCATTTCTGAGCCATAAAAACTGCCCACCTGGCCTGTTTCAAGGGGTGCATACGTTGGTTAGCAAATGAGATTAGCTTAAGACTTGGTGTGGCCTACGGGTTAGACTTCCCAGTGCCTGGCTCCAGAGGCCCTTTGATGCCACACCAAGCACAGGTTGGGGATATCTTCCTGTTCTTTATGGGTCTGCTCTACTGCATTTCCCCACCTCCCACTTAACTGAAGTCCCATCTCACTCTCTCCTTTTACCTGGTGGGGCTCCCTACCCACTGGGCTCCATGTGACCCTCTCCCAGGTACACAAGCTGCTTATTGTGGTGGAGCTGTTACTAGGAGAGATCCCTGACCGGCTCCAGTTCCGTCAGCCCTCCCTCAAGCGCTCACTCATGCCCTACTTTCTTCTGACCCAAGGTAAGGCTGGTCCCCCTGCCAGAGCCAGTCACACTCTCCACCAGTGAGCCCTTTTTAGTGTTTGTGTCCATTTGCATCATCTCATCTGTTCTTCTCCCCCCCTTAACAGCTGTCAGGACCGGAAACCTGGCCAAGTTCAACCAAGTCCTGGATCAGTTTGGAGAGAAGTTTCAAGCAGATGGGACCTATACTCTTATCATCCGACTGCGGCACAACGTGATTAAGACAGGTGTGCAGCCGAGTCCGGGGTTCCATTGAAAGATCAGACCAGCTTCTCCAGGAAATAGAGGCAATCTTGTGTCTGCGCATGAGCAGGTAAAGGGTCTGTGCCCATGCTGCCTGCTTCTCCTTCCAGGTGTGCGCATGATCAGCCTGTCCTATTCAAGAATCTCTCTGGCCGACATTGCCCAGAAGCTGCAGCTAGACAGCCCAGAGGATGCTGAGTTCATTGTTGCCAAGGTAGGTGTGTTTGGAAAAACCAGTGTGGCACAAGCTATATCACCTTCCTGCCTTATTTCAGAGGTGGAATTTGGGGAAGTAGGCAAAACAATGGCATTATCTTGTAAAGGAGTACCAATAAAGCCAGGAAAATTTGGGAGTGGAGAGAGAGTGAGAGTGTGTGTGTGTGTGTGTGTGTGTGTGTGTGTGCGTGCGAAAGAGAGAGAGACACAGAGACATAGAATGTACAAGAAAGACAAAGGAATGAGATAAGATTTTTCCTCCCTTTGGGGCCTGCAGGCCATTCGGGATGGCGTCATTGAAGCCAGCATCAACCACGAGAAGGGCTATGTCCAGTCGAAGGAGATGATTGACATCTATTCCACCCGAGAGCCCCAGTTAGCCTTCCACCAGCGCATCTCCTTCTGCCTTGACATCCACAACATGTCCGTCAAGGTGAGGGTCCTGGACTGCATCCATGGGAGAACTTGACGGCAAGTTCCTCCCTCTCTGTCTGTTGGCTCCACAGAGAAAGGTGGACTTTAGTGAGACACAATACCCAGCCCATATCTTTAAAGTCACGTTAAATAGCAGGATCGAACCCAGAGGCAGGAAAGTGACTTTATTCCAGATACTTGTGAGGGTGCCACCACTTCTGTTGCTTTTAAAGGGGTATGGTTAAAAATAAATAAATAAATAAAGGGAAATGGTTGTCAGGGAGGATTAGACAAGGATTAAGAGTCAAGGATTGAAGATTTGGATTTTCTGCTAATTTGAGTCATTTAACACATTGTCGCACACTTTTAAATTGACGACCGTGCTTAGAAGCACATTTTGCTGTCATTTGTGGCAACATGATAGTCTCTGAGCCTCTTTCTGTCCATCTGTGAAGCTGGCATTGAGGTATTTATTTGCCCTGGCTGTTTCAGGGGTTTAATGGAATTCAATAATATCACTGTATTAAGGTGTTTGTTGTTAGTTGTCATCGGTTCCAACTCAGCAGCTCCACATGCAGAGGTAGAACTGTCCCATGGTGTTTTCAAGGCTGAGACCTTTAAGAAGATCATTGGGCCTTCGTTCCAAGGCACCCGTGAGTGGATTTGAACTACCAAACTTTTGACTAAAAATCCAGCACTTAACCATTTGCATCACTCAGGAACTTGTATTAAGGCACTCAGGGAAGTCTAATGTGTTGAAAACATAGGTGTGGTATCTCGATGCAAAGGAGGTCCTAAAGCCCTCACCCTGTGTCCGGCAGTTCAGTGCTGTTCCTCTTTGGCCAGTTTCTCCTCATCTCCTTCCCCCAGGAAACCTTGATGAAAAGCTGGTTGATGTCATACTTGGCACACAGGTTCTTTGTGACCTTGTCCCTTCGTGTCTCAAGCCTACGTCCCCCTGCTTCCCTTCATCCCTGCATTTCTTCTTTTCTTTCACCATCAACCCCCACCCACACTCCTGACAAGAAGGCTAGACAAGTGGTTTCCCCGCTCGTTCTCTTCCTTTGCTTGTGTTTTCTTTTTCTGTCCCCCCCTTCTCCTCCCCCCCCCCCGCCCGGTATTTACCAGGAGCTGTTACAGTGGTTAAGGAGCTGGGGGTGGGGGCAGGGATGCTGGTTAGACACCTGGCTGGTAATTGAAGGATCGGTGCTGCGGGGGGGCGGGGGCGGCAGGTAGGTCGACTTCTCTGAAGATCACATCTTTGGAAATCCTGTGAGGCAGTTCTCCTCTCCTGTAGGGTCGCTAAGTGATGACAGCAGGGCTTTTTGGGTTGTGGTTGTGGTGTTGCTCTGGGGGCAGAGTCTGTAGGGCGTTGCGCTGACCTGAAGGCCACAACTCTTGTGGTTCTGACTCCCCGTGGTGCCATGGGAGTGAAGTGAGCCGTTTTCTCTCAAGAGATAGGAACATCAGAAACTCAGTGGAGGGTCAGCTGGGACAGCAGTGAGAACGCCGTCTGACTCCCACACGCACTGAACAGACAGCAGCCTAGCGTTTAGTACACAGAAGGGACACAGTCAAGTCTGTCAGCACCTCTGCTGCTCCTTCATCTGACTTCTTTTTCCTGTACTTCAGGCCATGAGGTTTCCTCCCAAATCGTACAACAAGGATTTGGAATCTGCAGAGGTAAGCATCCCTCTGGTTAGGGTAAGACTAAAAGCTTAGGCTTCCTTTCAGAAAGGAATGAGAAGTGTCCAGAAAGATGGAGAGCCGCGTAAGGCATTGGGGTTGTTGGGCTGGTGAGGCAGTGAAGCTGGCCCTGTCTAGTCACAGCGTCCCAGCTTCACCTCCCCTCCTCTCCCCAGGAGCGGCGGGAGCGAGAACAGCAAGACCTGGAGTTTGCCAAAGAGATGGCGGAAGATGACGATGATAGCTTCCCTTGAGCTCGGGGGCTGGGGAGGGGCAGGATGAGGGAGGTTGGCTCTTTGTATTTCTCCCTTTGGGGGTCCCCTGCCTGGGGAGCCAGACCCTCTTCCCGCACAAAGGTCACAGACTGCATATGTGCAGGGGGTGAGGGGTGCCAGGAGCCAGCCACCCCACCTCACCCAGGGCCCCTCCCCAGCCGGTGACTTAGTGCCCAGTGGCAGGTGGCCTCCCAGGGCAGGGTCCTGGCAAGTGGTGTGGGCAGCAGGATGGGAGGGAACAGTCCTGCACTTCCCTCAGGGAGTCAGGGCTGGAATTGGGACGTGTAGGGTTGTAAGTTTTTTGATGCTTCAATTATGATTTTTAAACAATAAACAGTTCTCTAAAGCTCTTTATGTGTCAGCTCATTCCTATACTTCACCTTCACAACTTGAATCTTGACAGAATTAAGGATTGATCCCCCCCCCTTAATCTTGAAGTACTGGGAGTCAGAATCAACTTGGTGGCTAGAGGGTTGGTAGTGCTGTCACAGAAGTGTAACCTGGGGTGGAGACGTGAAAGCCAAGGAAAGGGTGGGAAGCCCTGGAGCTGGGGCCAGGCGGGCGTGGGTTTATGCTGAGGTTAGTCCAGCTGCTGTCAAATAGTGAGCCAATCATGAAACCTTTATTTCCTATATCTGTAAGCTAAAGGATAGACTGACCTCTTGGCTTTAAAAATCAAGATCTGGAGACTTGTGGAGGCTGAAGATCTAGAAAAAGGCGTATCTGGGAGCTGGTGAGGGAAAAAAAGGGTCTCCAATGAGGCTGACAGTTAGTTTCACCCAGTAGCACCTTGGGGAAGGGGTTGGGCTCCTTACCAGCAGCAGAGTTGATGGGATTCCCAGGAGGGACCTTCCCCTCTGCCTCAGCCATTGAATCCAGGTGCAGGTGGTGGGGAAAAGTACCACCTCGGTCACTAACACCCACCTTGCCAGACTGCCTGAATTATTCATATGGTCTCTGGATGGCACCTGAGACACTGCCATGTCTGTCCCTACCAGGCTCTGTTAACTGAAAAATAACTTCGGAGATGCCTGCCTCTACCTTACTTGCCTCCTTCCCTGGCCCTGCCTGGCTTTCCAGTCCCCCTTGCCAAATTGTACCCATCCTTCCAGGCTCAGTGCACCCACAGCCTCCACACTTCTCAGGCTCAGAGAAGTCTTATCTTCTTAGTTTCATAGGAGGTCATGTTTGTGACAGCTGAGTCTTCTACCTGGGCTGGATGTCTTAAAACATGGAGGCATTTCTGGAACTTTTCTATAGCCTCCTGGCCCTTGCTGAATGCCTGGCGCATTTTATTGGTTCAGGAAAGTTTTGGGGAGTTGCTCATTACGTTCACATCTCCTTTTATCCCTCACTGCCATGGTGGCGGAACCATTCCTGTGATTCTGGAAAGAAAGAGGAAGACCCTAAATAAGCTGGATCGACACGGTGACTGTAACAATGAGCTTGAGCAAATCAGATCATGAGGACGGGGTACGACAGGAGGGGCAAGGCTGAGATCTTGTTCAGAATCACGGTGAATCATAGATTGTTGGCATCTAACAACAATGCCACAGAGGTGGTTGTGTACTTTTGAGGGCTGAACTCGCTTATAGCTGATACAGTGCGGGTTTTCAGAGGCAGTAAACACGTAGCATGGATGTCCGAGGTCACTCCAACAAGTATTAGATACTAGTGACTCTAAGTAGGACTATATCCATAGATGGATTCACACGTGCTACAGTATCTCCAGTTCCAAGATGCGCTGATGAAACAAGTCAATCACAAAAGGAACAAATAGTCTGTGGCTTTCTAAAATGACAAGAAAAGACACCTACAAAGATCGTTGACTAGTGGTTTCCAGGAGTGAGAGGGAGGGGATGATAGCTAAAAAAAATTAAAAACTGCACACCCAATTACTGTAAACACTGTCAGTACTGTAAATAATTGGAGTAGCAAAAGTTAAGTGGTAGTATATTTGCAACAATGACAACAAAGAAAAAATGATGACTCTTAAAACCAGACTTCAAGCCTAGTTACTTTTTTCCACCCTTTCTGTAGGGTTTTCTTTCTGTGTGGTTTTGTCAGTTGTGATTTGGTGGTGTTGTATGCCATCGAGCTGAAACCAACCCATAGCTGACCCTCTTGCAGCTTTTCTAATTGCCCATCTTTCACCCCCAAAGCAGCTAGTAGATTCAAACTTTGTGCCTTTGAGATTGCAGTGCAGCTTCTTACTACTAGGCTACCAGAACTCCCTTGGAAGGCACAAATTAGATAATGCATAGACGTACTTAGCTCAAGTATAGTTAGTGCATGTTAAGTACTTCATACCTACAGGGGAGGGAATGGGAACGTGTTTTAAATTGTAACTTTCCAGCCCTCCACGGTACCTCAACACACTCTTCTTCCAAGATGCAGGATACAGAGCTGAGCTCAACTTGTGTAGTGGCAAATCGTCTAGCCTGAGCTAGTCAGGCCTGTGTGTGCAGGGCTGCCCATGTGCAGACCAGAGGGGGCCATAGCAGCTAATTAGCTGGTGAAGTACTTACCAACTCTGGCCACTAGGGGGCACCCTAGTCCCAGAGTTAGTCACTGCCTAATAAGCTGTATCTTCACCTAAGGATGGCTCTGTTCCTTGGAACACTGGGAGGTGAACTGTGATAGAAAGTGACAATCATGGGTGTAGTCTGTCACGATGTCCCAAATAGGCCATCCATGTCCAGGGAAGGCTCATAGAACCCTGGCAGAAAGCTGGGTTCTACCCCTCACTCTGCTACCAGTATCCTTGGACAAAGTAGTCCCCTCTGTTCTAGTTCACAGGATTGGAAGATACTAGGAGATCCTTACCAGGGTGGAGGGAACTCTGCCTTCTTATTGCTGTGGGACAATAAGGCAGAACCAACTCATAGCTGACCCTCCAGAGGGTTTTCAGAGGCAGTAAATCTCAAGGGAGGAGATTATCCGTCCTTCTCCCATGGAGCAACCAGTAGATTCAAACAGTGTGCCTTCAGGATTACATCACTTTCTTACCCACTGTTGCCAACCCAGAAGTACGGTAGTCCTAACTCAATGGTACTTGACACCACCACCAGTGGCATTCAGTGGTCCAAGGGTTCTAAGTCACCACTTGTCCTTGTAATACTATAATGACTTGTATATTGCTGTGATGCTAGAAGCTAAAATATCAATATTTTAAATACCAGTCAGTTTTGATGAAACTTTAAACTAATAAGACTAGGAAAGAAAACTTGGAGATTTACTTCTAAAACCACCAACCAGTCAGTAAAATCTTTATAAATAGCAGTGAAACATTGTCTAATGAGTATCACAAACATAAATGCTTATATGTATACAATTTTTGCATTCAAGGATAAATTTTACTACAAGATTATTTTGAAAAAATGCACTGTGGTTTTCAGTCATCTAATTTTTATTTGGAATTTTTAACTAAGACATAAATGTCTACTTTTTGGGGGAGTAATTGTGTTTTGGGTAAAAATTTACAGAGCAAATTCATTTTCAATTCAACAATTTATGTTAATCTTGTCACATTGGTTGCAGTCCTCTCAGTCTAGCTGTACCCATCCCACTTCCTCCTAGGGCTCTATGTTTCCATTTGTCCTTCTTTTCAGGATAGATCTTAAAGTGTCCTTTTTGATGATGAATATGACACTATTAGTCTTCAGTTTATCATTCCTAAGATAGTAGAATACGATTGTCCTATTTAAAACAGTACAAGTTTGTTGGGTTTTTTTTATCCTTAGCAAGGCATTTTACTTCCACAGAAGGTTGCTGGTGGGCAGTTTAATACAGTTCTTTTAAGCTGAATAATAACTAGGATACATCAACCTTTATGGGTTCCATTTTTAATAAAATTTTTATTTTATACTAGTTTACTTACAAAGTTTGTATACATTGGTTTTCACACTGATCTTTCTCACTTCCTTTACTCACCCCTCCTACCCATCAAACTGTGCAACTCAATGGGTACTCTCCTATCCATCCTCACCATTCTGCTCCTATCCTCCTCCCCTTGGATCCTCATACATGTTTTACCAGTTATCTTTCTATTTCTGCAATAATGGTCTTACACAGTATTTGTCCTTATGGGACTGAGTTCACTTAGCAGATGCTCTCTAGTCCCTCCCAAGTTAGGTAGTTAGTGATTTTCAAAACCATTTCATTATTTTTTTACAACTCCCAGTTATCCTAGATTAATTTTTATATTTCACATTGATTCTTGATGGATGTTTGCAGCTTCTTCATCAGCAGAGGAAGATCTCAAAAACCTTATTCCATCCACGTAATTAAAGTTGACTTAACTCAAGGAGGCAGATCTTCCCCAGTCTGTGTCTTCTGGCTCCGTACCAAACACAGACAGCATTTCTCATGCTGAAAGAATTGGAGATGAAAACATTTCAAGCCCAGAGTTGCAATATTGAAAGATTCTATGACAACATGTTGAACAATGCAGGAAGTATGAAGAGATACACACAAAGCCACTGTGTCAAAAAGAACTTATTCATATTTAGTCATTTCAGAATGCATGTGATTTAAAAAAAAAAAAACCAAACCTTATAGTGCTAAAGGAAGAAGCTACACTGAAGGCATTGGTGAAAAACAATGGTTGATTAAATACCAAAATTCAACAAAAGGATACAGCATTAGAAGCACTGTGCCAAGAAATTTGGAAGACAGCCACCTGGCCAACTAACTAGAAGAGATCCATGTCTGTCCCCATTCCAAACAAAGATGATCCAATAGAGACTAGAAATCATCAAACAATATCATTATTATCACAAGCAAGTACAATTTTGATGGAGATTAAATTTAAAAATAGCTACTGTAGCAGTACATGGGCAGAGACCTGCTAGACATTCAAGCTGGATTCAATAGTGGCCATGGAACAAATGGTATATCATTGCTGATGTCAGATCTTAGCTGAAAACGAGACCACCAAGAAGATGTTTTATCTATGCATTGACCCGCATTGACTATGCGAAAGCACGCAACTGTGTGAAACATAACAAATTATAGATGATAACATTATGGAGGCTAGCAACTCCTTATTGTGTTCATGCAGAACCTGTAGATTGACCAGGAAGCAGTCACTTGAACAGAACAAAAGAATCCTGCATGGTTTACAGTCAGGAAAGCTGAGTGTGAGGGTTATTTCCTTTCCTACTTTATTGCTTGGAAGTAAAGATAAGACGAGCCAGTCCCTGGAGAAAGACATCATGCTTTAAAAAAGTAGACATTAGAGAAAGAGAAGACCCGCAACAAGATGAGCTGAGTTGACACAATAAATAATAACCTTGAGCATCGCAGAGATTCTGAGGGTGATACAGGATGGGCAGTTTCTTTGTGTTCTCCATGGGATCACTATGTGTGCAAGCCAATTCCATAGCATCTAACCAGCAAAAAAGTGCTGAGCAAATAATTTGAGAGGCTGGAATGTATGAAACAGAATGTAACATCAGGATTGAAAGACTCATCAATGTACAGAGGACACAACCTTGTTTGTGGAAAAGAAATGGAAATTGAAATACTTACTGATGAAATTTGAAGACTGAAGTCATCAATATGGGTTACACCTCAACATAAAGAAAGCAAGAATTCTCACAACTGGATAAGCAACATCATCATAAATGGAGAAAATATTAAAGTTGTCAAAGAGTTCATGTTTGTTCATGGAAGTAACTGTCAGGAAATCAAATGACATATTGTACTGGACTCTTTAAAGTGTTAAAAATGCAAAGATGTCACCAACATATGCCGACTCAAGTTATGATATTTTCAATATGGAGGGAGAACATAGACAATGAATAAAAAGGCAGAAGAAGTGGTGTCTTTGAAATATAGTGTTGAAGTTGAACGTCACTTGGACTGCCAGAGGAACAGATAAAGCTGTCTGAGACCAAGTATAGCCAGAATGCACCTTGGAAGCGATGATGGTGGGATCTCATTTCACATACTTCAGACATGTTAGCAGGAGGGGCCAGAGCCTGGAGAAAGGCGCCATGCTTGGTTGGTAAAAGAGGGTCAGTGAAAAAGAGGAAGACTGTCAGTGACATGGGCTGGTAATGGGCTCCATCACTACAACGTGAGAACGATCCTGGACCAAGCCATGTTTTGGTCAATTGGACGTAGGCTAACCGAATCAGAACAGACTCAACAGCACCTAACAACAGGAATCTCAGATGGGGAATTGCCCCCTTCCACCCCCCAGTCCTTCTCTCCCTCAGGGCCTCACACACACACTCCAGCTGGAGTTTCCTGCCAGGGAAACCAGTCCCCCCATTTCGAAGAACTAGGAATAGGGTACGCAGGAGGAGGTAGAAGGGCAAGGGCAGGTGAGCCAAGAGCCAAGGGTCTTGCTTCATTTGGGACAGATATCCGGTTTCCTCTGGCCTCCGCCAGGATTCCGGGGGCTTAAAGGAATGAGTCATAGTGGGGAACTGGGGAGTTCCCAGCTAACCAGCTCCAGACCGCCTGGAACTTGGGGTGGTGCCTATTGAAGTTGAGAGGAGGACAAGGTGAAACTTCAGTGTCTCTGGCCACTCAAGAGGAGACCCAGGAAAGCAGCCACCCAAACAATTTGGGGATTAGGAAGGGGAAGTATAATCCCCCTTCTCTCTTCTCTTAGAGTTTAGGGGCTTGGAAAGTAGATTGCTTGAGACTCCCAAGGGCCAGGGGTCAAAGGGCTGCCCCAGGAGGAGGGGAGTGGGCAGGAAGGCCAGGACTGAGGCTGGCCTCCTCCCTCATCAGTCTGATGGACGCCAGCTTTCATTAGTTTTACCCAGGGCTCAGCCTTTGTTCAGCTGTTCACTTCAAACCCCCTGGGCACTTCAGATCTGGGTAGGGCTTGGGGGGAGGGAAGCAGTTTAAGGGGGATCAGACGTCAAAAGACAAATTAGAGATTCCACAATTTCACAAAATCTTTCGCAAACAGCTTTTTGAACCAACACCCCCCTACATTGTCCTGGACACCAAATTTGCATAAATCCTGGGAAGTTATTACTAAGCCTTAGTCGCAAGACCAGGTAATTTCCTCCCAAACCTCCATGGGGTTCTGTATAAAGGCCCTCATGAGCTGGCCCATCAGAACTCAGAGCCTGCAGCACAGACCCACTCAGACCCACAGCCAAGTCTGCCACTCAGAGCCCTATGAAGCTGTTGGGTGAGTGTGGGCAGGGGAGCGAGGCAGAGTGGGAGCCGGGGTGGGGAACTCCATGGTTATGGGAATGAAGGTAGAGCCACCTCATGCTCCCAGAGGGGGACCTGATGGGAGTGGACTGTCTGCTTCCAGCCTTGCTGCTCGTGCTCTGGCACAGTGCACTCTGGACAGTGCAAGAAGCCAGCCCCCTGGGCCCTGCCCACTCCCTGCCCCTGAGCTTCCTGCTCAAGTGCTTGGAGCAAGTGAGGAAGATCCAGGCCGATGGAGCTTTGCTGCAGGAAAGCCTGGTGAGTGGGAGAGTCAGGCAACACAGAGGGGGCTCTGGGGCGAGGAAGGAGGGTAACAGGAGTGGGTGGGGAGGGAGGCAGAGGGGAGGCATCAGAGGGGAGGTGTCCGGGAGGGACAGGAGTAGGGGGGACACACATTGGAGAAATCAAAGAAAGAAGCTGGGGGGGAGACACTCTTTAGATAGGGCTGTCCTGGCATGATAGTGCTGGGACAGATGAGAAGGGTAGCTGTCACTAGCTGGGAACAGGCCAGACAGGGCTGAGAAGGTTGACAGGATGCAGGAGGTGAGGGGGACCCAGGAGGGAGGGGCACTGCCTTGGCTATGGCCCCTCACTTCCATCTCCTTCCCCCAGTGTGCTGCCCACAAGCTGTGCCACCCTGAGGAGCTCCTGCTGCTCGGGCACATTCTGGGCATCTCCCAGGCTCCCCTGCACAGCTGCTCCAGCCAGGCCCTGAAGGTGGTGAGTGTCCGTGCCTCGGAGGAGGGGAGTGCACACCCTCTGTACCTGTCCCAGAGCTGCCCAAATACCCAGGCTTTAGGCTGTGGGCCTCAGAGGGCACCCCAGCCAGTCATCACCCCCTAATGTTCACATTCTATGCCACCACTCCCTGCAGATGGACTGCCTGAGCCAAGTCCACAGCGGCCTCTTCCTCTACCAGGGCCTCCTGCAGGCCCTTGCTGGGATTTCCCCTGAGGTCACCCCCTCCTTGGTCCTGTTGCAGTTGGATGTTGCTGATTTTGCTGCTAACATCAGGCAGCAGGTGAGTCAGCCTGCTCTGCACCAGAGCTGGGAAGCCCAGAAACTTCAAGAAGCTGGGCCCCAAAGGCCCATTCATCTCTTAGGATGGGGGATGAGGGTGTGTGGGTGCATGCCTGGGGCCTTGGCTGTTCCCTAGTGTTAGGATGGGAGTATTTTTTAAAACCTGTGTGTCAGGACCAATGCTCACCCCAGGGCACTCTCGGCCTCACCTCCTCCACGCCTCATAATTGACAGCACCGGAGTTTGAAATGAGACCTGGGTTCAAGTCTTCATTGTACCACTAATCATGCGGTCCTCAGTCCATCAGCTTTCTGAGCATTTCATTTGTGGGCCTGATTGCTGACCTCTTCTTTCCCCCTCAACAGATGGAAGACTTGGGGGTAGCTCCAGCGGGGCAGCCCACCCAGGGCCCCATGCCAACCTTCACCTCTGCCTTCCAGCGCCGGGCAGGAGGGGTGCTTGTTGTTGCCAACCTACAGAGCTTCCTGGAGCAGACGTACCGGGCTTTGCGCTTCCTCACCCAACCCTGAGAAAACTCCTACCCCTGTAGCCTATTTATCTCTATTTAATATTTATCTTTATTTAAACTGAGTATTTAAAGAAGAGTGGGGCAAAGCCCAGACTTCTGGGCCTTTCCATCTCCCTGTAGCAGGGAGTGAAGCTCCTGCCCTCTGGCCCTCTGCGCTGGGGGGTAGATAGGTAAATACCAAGTATTGACTCCTGTGCTGTCTCCTGTGTCCTGCTCCAAGGTGGGCACTGTGAAGGGCTGCCAAGAAGTCCTTGCTTCAAGGCACTCAGCTTGGCACCCTCAGGAGCACCAGGAAGTCTCCCATGTGGGAGACAAGACAACCCTGTTTAATATTTAAACAGCAGCGTTCTCCAACGGGGTCCCTGTGCCCCTCACCCTGGCCTCCACTCACTTGGGGCACCACCAGGTGCTTTCTGGCCAGTTCCTCTTCCCACAGGCGCCGCATCCTGGACTAGCAGAAGTGCCAGAACTGGGAGGCTTTGTCCCAGGGTCCCATGCCTTGGCTAGCAATTCTAGCTTTCCTCTATATGAGTTTTAGGGTATTTACTTCCAGAAAGGCACTTGGGTATCACATTTCTCAGGATGCCCTATAAAGACAAAACTGGCATGTAACTGGCCTCTGCCACCAAGATCAAGATTCTGATTCCTTTTATGGCCAGATAGATGGTCATGTATTTGCCCTTCTCAACTGTAGGAGGGAAATGATTGGGGGTGGGAGGGACACGATGCAAGAGGGGCTAAATGGGAACCTCAACTGCTTATCCTCCACCCCCGCCCTCACTATCTGACCACAGCCAGGCTTCAGAATAATAAAGTATTTGTCTCCAGAAAATGTCTTCCTCCTTCTTAGTCCAACTGGGACCCAGCCAGGAATTGAGGGTGGCAGCGAATGGTGGAAGGGGCCAGAGGAGAGGGATGCAGAACATTCGATCCTGTAGTATTATTTATCTGAGCACGCACTCTGCAAACACGGGGCCAAGTGCAGGGACCCAGCTGAGAGCAAGGCAGACCCGGCCCTGCTCAGTGTAGAAGACAGAGTAGAGCTGGAAAAGGAGAGAGAAGCCAGGCGCCTCTCATTTGCTCATTTATTGCCTTCCGTAAACACTACCCCATCCACTTCACAATTACTACTCAGACTTTTCTAGATTAATATACAAGTGTCAAGGTCAGTACTTGGGTCAGAACTTGAATTCCTGGCTTTGCACTTCTCTTCATCAAGCTCTGTGACCTGGCAGACCAAGCTTACCCCCACATCACTTTTCTGCTGGTCTCTATAGAGACCGGTCTGAGGAGGCTGTCCTCACTCACCAGTGTCAGGACACTCCTCGTGCCCCACAGCCAAGGATTCGCATTGGGGTCCTCATGGACCACCAGAAGCGGGGAGATGGAGACAGCCAGGCAGTGCCTCATTCTGCTGGCAGCCCATGCCTGGCTCCTCTGTCAATCTCACTGTCCTTACCCACGTGGTTCCTTAGAAAGCAGGGGCTGAATGTGCAGGGACAGGACTCCTAGCTGTGCAGATCAGAGTCCCGAGGAAACTGCACTTGGAGGTGTGTGGAACAGGTGAAATAACACCAAACACTCAAAATTTATTGCCACTACAGTACAACCACCTCACACTTGACCCGCCTTTGGGCTTCCGAGGCTGTAAATTGCAAAGAAGACACTGTCCATCTTTCTCCCTAAGCTGTTGGTGGATTTGAAGCAGCAGAGGCACAGTCTTTGGGTTATCAATGCAACTCCTTAAGCAGCAGCATCCACCGCAGGCCAGGGAGGGTTAAACAGATCTCCTCATCCCCCTAAGCCTTCTCTAGAGGGGACAGACCAGACTCTGGACAAGTCAGGCTTTGAGTGGGGTGGAGCTAGGTTGGGACTGGCAGAACAGGACACCTTAAGCCAGTGGGGCCCCGCAGGGCTTTTAGCCAAAGCCTCTCCCTTCTGTGGGTAAGTCTGACTTTGGAAGCTGGGGAAATAGGGCGGCTGCTCCTTTTTACCAGCCTAGCGTCACTTCCCTGAACTGAGGGAACACAGAAACCTGGGCCCAGCCAGCCCGTGCACCTCCTCCCCTCCCTCTCAACCACAGGACCAGCCTCGCCCTGGGCAGCACAAAGATTCCAAGAAGACACAGATCACCAGCCCGAGCCAGGCACAGGCATCGACAACACTTAGTCACAAAGAGCCACGGGATCTTTATTAACAAAAAAGCAGACAGGACTGACATCCCTCATGTATAAAAATATATATATATAGGGGAGCTCTGGTGGCCTAGTGGTAAGGAGCTGCAACTACAATCCCAGAGGCGCATGGTTCGAATCCACCAGATGCTCTGCCGGGGAAAAACGGACAATCTCCTCCTGTACCAGTCAGATCTGATTTGACGGTACACTCACACAAAAATAATAAAATAAAAATTTAAAAAAATTATTAAAAAAAACCAATATATATATATATATATACACACACACACACACACACATAAATATACACACAGACATCCCTCTGTAAAGTTCCTCCAAGGTGAAGCCACTCGAGGTAGGAGGCACCTACCGAGAATGGCTGCCCTGGGGCTAAGGAAACTGGTGCCCACACTCCCAGGCTGGCAGAGGGTAGAGGAAATTACAAAAGAGACAGGTGATATCTTAGAGGTCAAAAGAGCAGGAAAAAAGGTGTAGAAATTGACGAAGGGCTCTCGTCTCATGTAGATATGAGCAATAATGTCTCATCTCCTCACTGTTCCCTTCAGAGGCTGGGGACCCTGCTGAGCCGATTCCATGTCCTTCCAAATCCCTCAGAGGGCAGCAATGGCCTTAGCAGCCACTTGGCGACCTAAGGGCAGGCTGAGGTCTGTGATGGCCAGAACCACCTTGGGGCTGGACATGGCTGACACCTTCACCAGTTCTGATACCTGCCAGACAGACAGAAAACCAGTTACTCAACGATGCTCCTGCATGGCAGGTGTGAAGTCCCAGGAGAAAAGGAAGGCCCTCTCCCTACTCAACAGCTGGCCTCGAACCAGGAGTTGATGCAGCAGTGGGCCCGCGAGGCCAGAGCGAAGTGCTCACCGTGGTAAAGGGCATAAACTGCAAGATGCTGCCGCGGCTGCCCTGCTCCAGGCAGTCAACACACTCCTCCATGAACCACTGCACAAACTGGGTGTGGGGGCCTGCGGTCCGGGACCCCAGGATGGAGGAGATGAGCAGGAACAGGTTGGCTGTGCAGGAATTGAGAGGACAAGCGTGATTCCATGAGGAGAGGTTAGACTGCCAGAAGGCAGGACTGAAACGGGGAGAGGCAAAACTGCTAAGAACACCAAAAATATGGGAGAGTTAGAAGCAGCACAGGGAAAACCAGGAAAGAACTGGAAGGGGGACCAAGTGGGAAAGAGTAGAGACAAAAGGGCTGGCAATGAGGAGGGCTGGGGGAAAGAGGTGGAGATACGCCTAGAGGGACACTGCCAGCACCAGAAAGACCTCCTGCCAGCTGGGGTCTCCTGTCTCCCACCAGGCAGGGGCAGGGCTCCTCCCAGCCTGGTCCCCAGGTCCCAGGATGGCATGGAGAGACTCACTCAGGACTCGGTTCAGCGGGTCTCTCATGTTGACTGTGTGAAGCTGGGAGGCCGAGAGGGAGCTGTTCATGGAGCGGTCAGCTGTGGAATCGGAGGAGGGGCACTGAGGAAACAGTCTACTGTTCAAAACCCACCTGCTGGGGGAAGCCTTCGCCCACAGCCCCCCACCCACCTGACGGTGTAAACCATGTGTGAAGACTCCAGAGTAGACCCTTAGGTCAAGAGTCAAGATTCTGTTGAGGGTGAAGGAAAATGTGGATACACACAGTGGTGACGGTTGCACAATATGGGGCATGTAATTAATGTCATTGAATTGCACACATAAAAGATGTTGAAATGTCAAATACTTTGTTATATATATTTCCACCAACAAAAAAAGGAAGGGGGGGGGGGCGTCTCAGAATATAGAGAGATCTGAAGGGAGGCAAAGACAGAAAACACTAACACGTGGTGAGCACCACCCTGGGCCCAGCCAGGGGCTTGACATGGATCAGCCTCTTATCCCTCATCACGTTACAAACCTAAGACTGGAGACACAGAAATGTGAAGCAACTAGCTAAAGGCCACAGGGATCAGAGGCGCCCCTATGCTCAAACACACAGCTGGAACCCTAGTCGGTAAAAGGCCTCAGAGAAATGTCTAAGCGCAGGAGAAATTTCTAGAAACAAGTAAAAGTGAAGTCATCCAAGGAGCCCTCGGCAGAGGGAGAAGACTACAGCAGGACAGGAAAGTGCAAAGGTATCGAGGTATAGGGAAGTTCAAGGTGAAGGGGCACCCTTGAGGCAGGAAGAGTGAGAAATAGCCTCAAGTCTTGGCCTGAGCCAGCCTCTGATCCTCAGGCTGTCAAGAAAGGAAGGTCAGAGCTGGTGAGTCAACGGCACAGATTGTGCTGGAGGCAGTGAACTCTCTTTGTCATTCTCTCCAACATGTGGCTCAGGAAGGAAAGGGTGAGGGAACAATAATGTCATGCATACTGGGGTGCTCCTCTGTTGGAGTCTGAGTAGAGAAGCTTCAACCATAGGGAAAGATACAGAGCAACCATTTATCCAGGGGTAAAACCAGAAAATCCCATTAGGGTCGGGATGGGACCAGCCCCTGCCACACCTGGTCTGACCAGGCAGCAGGGAAGGCAGGAGCCGAAAGAACAGCTTTCCTGAGGAGGAGCAAGCTCCCAGGGAGCGAACGAACTAGCACAGGCCCTGCCACAGACTCACTTGGACTCGAGAGGATGTTGGCATCCTCCTCATTGGAGCTCAGCAGTCGCATCAGCTTAGACGGCTGCATGTCGTCCAGGGGAAAGAGGCTGATATAATCCTGGAGGGCAAGAGAGTCTCTCGGACCCACCCTGAGCTCCAAATCCCCATCATCGGAGCCAGGGCCTGGGTAGGCAAGGGAACCCCACAGCTGTAGCCAGCAGGGGTGGCCTTCCCTCCTGT